TAGCTATACACAACAGTGTCAACGACAATGCGTTGATACTCATCGGAAAGGGATTTCGACGTGCGTCTGATTCGAGCAGCTATTATGGCGTGTTTTATAAGTTTTCCTATGGCGGAATGAAGGCCTGTTATCTGAGTTTATCGATCGAGTTCAATAATCTCACGGTGTCTCGATGAATGAAGCCGCAAAGGCCTGGTTAACTAATTGGCTTCGATAGAAAATTGCCTTTGTGGTTTGCAACTCAGGTTAACAGCGAATTAACTTGTCGGACAAATATGCTGGAGGGAACTAAGTGGGCTCCCGAAACTGAATCAGTTCGTCCTCAGAAGGCTTTTGTGTAAGTTGTGCATGATCTGGTCCTTAGGGGAAATCTCGATAGAATCACAGAATTAGGAGAGGTAGCAAGAATCCACGGCTGTATGTCTGCCGACAGAGTCAACACGTGTAACAGTCAAGGGGTGATCAACCTGGGAATTTCTGACATTCTGTTTCACCCAGAGAACACTGAGGTTCCCGGGGACACGATTGCTTCTAAATTCGGTTGTAAAATATGTTGGGTCCCGCTGGTGAGTCCTACCGGGAGCTGGACTTCCAGTTAGGGATAAAAGCCGGAATGAGACTTCGGGTTAGGTTTGAAGCGATTGGAATACCGGCCTTAATGCAAGGGCCAAACCACTATACTAAATATATTTTATAATACAAGACACAAAAGGGTTCCTCATGTCAAGAGGAAAACGTAACCTGTAGGACTCAAAATGTTCGGTGAAACTGAGTGCACGGGGATATATCCGGTTGATAATGACTACTTTTCAAACAAAGTTATTTGCACGACAATCAACCCCGGACCAGCGTAGCGTGGATGATCAGGTCGATGTAACAGGCCTCTGTTCCCACAATATGGTGACCTTGTTCTTCTGGATTCCACACAATAATGGAAGACTGGTTTATCTTTTTCAACAACTTCATCTATTCAAAATGCGAGACAGTGACAATCTTGTGATCACCGAACACCATATGAGAAAGCTGGATGCTCTTCCACTTTGTCCTTATATGTCCCATCAACCCGAAACCAAGTGATCAGATAAAGTGTGCGAGACTCTAAATTCACGTAAATCCGTTTGAATTTGAAGTAGTAGATAGACTCCTAGAAACATTTGAAAATAAGCCGTAGATATTAGACCGAAAACGAACGCAAACACTACGCATGTTGGAATGCAGAATGCAGCAACTGAAGAGATCAGAACGTACGTGTGAAGTGCGTACATCTGTAACAGCTTTTCTGTAACAGCGCAAATGCGACGCCACCAAAGTGAAGCACGAGGGCTGGTCTGCAGCCTTGTTGCCCAAGCCTAGATTTGGGAAAATACAAGACACAAAAGGGTTCCTCATGTCAAGAGGAAAACGTAACCTGTAGGACTCAAAATGTTCGGTGAAACTGAGTGCACGGGGATATATCCGGTTGATAATGACTACTTTTCAAACAAAGTTATTTGCACGACAATCAACCCCGGACCAGCGTAGCGTGGATGATCAGGTCGATGTAACAGGCCTCTGTTCCCACAATATGGTGACCTTCTTCTTCTGGATTCCACACAATAATGGAAGACTGGTTTATCTTTTTCAACAACTTCATCTATTCAAAATGCGAGACAGTGACAATCTTGTGATCACCGAACACCATATGAGAAAGCTGGATGCTCTTCCACTTTGTCCTTATATGTCCCATCAACCCGAAACCAAGTGATCAGATAAAGTGTGCGAGACTCTAAATTCACGTAAATCCGTTTGAATTTGAAGTAGTAGATAGACTCCTAGAAACATTTGAAAATAAGCCGTAGATATTAGACCGAAAACGAACGCAAACACTACGCATGTTGGAATGCAGAATGCAGCAACTGAAGAGATCAGAACGTACGTGTGAAGCGCGTACATCTGTAACAGCTTTTCTGTAACAGCGCAAATGCGACGCCACCAAAGTGAAGCACGAGGGCTGGTCTGCAGCCTTGTTGCCCAAGCCTAGATTTGGGAAACCGAAAAGCGGAGGTCGGGTTCAACCCGAGGCCTTCTGTTCAGCAAATGTGCAATCTAAACACCGAACCATCTCGAACGACCGCGAGTAAACAGTTCCTCTCATTTCAGTTATGGAAAACACGAAGAATGCTATCCTGCCGAATACATTTTATGGTACCAGATCCGAAGAATATTCAGGCATTTGCACCACGTGAGCAATGTGACGAGAGCGCACTTGGTATGATTCAAAGGAAGGTTTATAACTTAATGCAGCTTGTCGATGGTGATCACTTCTCAAGAACAGCCCTTTCAGTGATAAGCGAGGTCCAATTTTCTTGACATTTTGACAGGCACATGGCCTCGACCAGAATGGACTATATTCATGTACTGCTAGAACACGTCTTCACTGCTCTACGATTTTCGCAATCACCAAAGTGGACATCAGCTTATCTGGCGCGCAGTTGGTGATGTCGTTTGGTCGCCTGCAGGTGCGAGAATCGTTTGCTGCATGTCCACCAGTTGTGTGGTCCTCACTGATGCGTTTGCCTGATCGGATCATTCACTCGATCTGCGCTGGACCAGTCGTCGCCGTTCTGTTTGCTGATTGGCTTGCGTGTAAATCTCCTGTTTAGAATGCAGGCATTCACGCATATTTGGTCTACTGTTCCTTTTGTGGTTCTTGTGTAATGATTGATTTCAATTACGCTTGAGATTTCTCCGTGGAAACGCCTCGGCTTATTGTCGGACGATAGCACTATATAACTTGGGCTGAGTGCAATCTAAAACGAATACTCCTAACGTAACTCCTTAGATACACGTACACACGGATTGTTGCATACGTTGGAGGCTTCTACCCACACCGCCCACTTCAGTGTGTTTTTGGTGCTCAGTTTCGTCCATTCACCGTAAGGGCACAAGCGAAATAAACGGGCAACAATGCACCTGGTATTCACAGAGAAGTGCAATAAGC